GCCTTCAATGAGGGGAGCAGTCGATACTAATCATCTTAATTGGGTTACATTTACACTCTTTTGGATCACATTTGTTTCAAACACATCTAATATAAAACACATTTAACTCGTGCTTTTAATTTATGATATTTTTTAATTGTATTATAACTTTTTTTGCATTTGATTCACTAAAGTCTTAATGAATGCTCACTTAACTATTGAATCCATTTTTATACATAAATGCAATAATAATTGTATTTAACGAATAGTATTACAATATTTATTTAAATTTCCAAAGTTTATCCACAATAAGTATTTAATATAAAAAAAAGTTATAAAAGTATACATAATTTTTTTAATAAAAGTATTTTGAAATTAATAATAATATATAATATTTATATACACTTCTGATGACAATTTCAATAAAATGAACATTTGTTTAATTAATTCAATAAATTTATATTCAAAATGAGTTTTAAAAGAAAACAAACTAAAAGTCCTTCAAAGAATCCTTCGTAAGTGCTTTTGTTCGCAAATACATTAAGAATTGAATAAATTGGCCATAAATTTATTCTATATAATTGTTTTTTGGTGAATGACTTTATAAAAAGTTGATTTTCTTTAAAGTTTTTATAAATGTATAAATCAAACGCAACAATAGAAGATAACATTATAAAATTTTAGTTAATTCTAAAACCAGTAAAAATTTTAATTATGAATGATTTGGTCGTTTTTATAAGTAATTTCCATATATGAAAACCTTTAATATAAATATATTTTATAGTATTTGTAACCGATTTGTATTTTGTGTATTAATACTGCATTACTGCCTACACTGTAGACAGAATATTCCTTAATTAATTTGTTTGTAACAACTTTTAACTCCTGTGAACCACTAATAGGCTGTCGCAGCGAAAGAATTCTGCGATTCTTCGTTAAGTTTATTATTAGTAAAGTCAGGACTCATGTGAGGGCTGTTATATTGCTTCTGTAGTGCGTTAAACATGGTTTGACACAAGCCGTCCAAATCGTATTTATGATTCCAACCCCAGTCCTGACGAGCGTTTGTATCGTCCAACGACCTAGGCCATGTGTCCGCTAGATTCAAATCAAAATTGTTTGTTTTAAATATGCACTTTGTTTTAACTATTAAAAGTTTATACCAAAACCTTAATGGTTTTATTCATAATATAATAAAATGAAATGAAAGCCATACCGATAGTCTGTCTGCCGTCTAATTTATAAGAAACTTTAAAATTGGGAACATATCTCTTGATGGCATCAGTGAGTTCTTTGGGGGTAAAACTGATGGCATTTACGTTATATGTTCTTTGTTTCAGTTGATCATCCGATGCCTCCATAATAGACATCAATGAATTCAAACAGTCGTCGATATACATCATCGGAAGTCTTGTGTCGGGCTTTAAATAGCATTCATACGATCCATATTTTAATGCCTCGTGAAAGATAGAAACGGCATAATCAGTGGTCCCTCCGCCGGGATTAGTGTCGGCGGATATCACTCCAGGAAACCGAAGGCAACGGAAGTCTAATCCAAATTTTTGCCAATAATACTGTGCGACAGAATTTACTGTATTTGGATATTAAATGTAAAAACCTATTGTAAATACTTCTCCAATGAGTTCCGCGTGAACTTTGGAAACACCATAAATGGTTTGCGGTCTTTGGACGCAAAAGTCTGTAATATATTTTATATTTTCAATGAATGAGTATTTTGTGTGTTTAAAGACAATGAATACCAGGAGTGGGAATATTTCGGGGCGATTGCGGCCCAAAGGCGCCTATAGTTGAGGGCACGAAGAGTCTGAGTTTGTATTGTCGCGACAATTCCAACACATTATGCAAACCGTCGATATTGACTCTCATCGCCAGCGGAACGTTATATTCGCCGACAGAACTGAGTAAAGCACTGAAATGTATTAACCAATCGATCCGATGGTTGACAACAATTTCTTGTAAATTTTTGAAATCAAGAATATCGGCGTAAATGAATGGTCCGCTCTTTAGGATCTCTTTCGGCGCTTTGATTATATCAGACATAATAACGTTGTCTTTGCCATACTTTTGCCTAAACAATGCAATCATAAATTTTTGAAATCAAGAATATCGGCGTAAATGAATGGTCCGCTCTTTAGGATCTCTTTCGGCGCTTTGATTATATCAGACATAATAACGTTGTCTTTGCCATACTTTTGCCTAAACAATGCAATCAATTTTGATATAAATGTTGGTAATAGTATTAATTATATATTTAGCAAAACTCGTTTAATACCTCATTAGTCTTGCGAGGCCAGTGCCTAACTGTCCCAAACTCCCTGTGCAGACATTGCAATCGTTTTATATCAAGTTTTAAATTCAATTCTTAATTCATAGTTAAAGCCTTGAACCCCTATTCGAGCTCAACTTAATGTACATTATTAATAATGTGGCGGTAAAATACACCTTAATGTTTAAATTGGTAAAGGTATTACAAGTCTTAATAATCACTTGAATGTAATATACAGTACACCTACCATCTCCTGATCACCCCATCCCTTGTCGTAACTGTAATACTGTCCTTCAAATTGACTTTCAATTCATCTTGATATACCCTCAGGTATAATTAAAAGTATATTCTTATAACTTATGATATATTCACAAGAATTGTCAGACAAAAGAGAATTTAGTTTTCAACTATTATAACTTAAAATTGTTAATTTTTAATCATTGCATATACAGAAGTGGTTTTACAAATAATGGCTTAAGATTACATCTCTATTATCTACAGAATGTATTATCTGTAGTAAATAATGAGAATATCTAATCAAAACAATTATATTCTTTAACAAATAAAGTGGTTATTTTATATTTATATTATTATCTTCATACAAATCATTTTATATTTAAATATAAAGTTATGATAATAAAGCTGATAGAAAATATAAATCTTGTTGTATTAGATAAATTAATTTTCCTTATTTTTAAAAATCAAGTGATGATTTGTTTTATAAATTTACCGTAATAAAATAAAAATTTATATATAAAATATAACTTTAAATAATTGTAATATAAAAACTTTAAAAGACTTACCAGTAATCAAGACATTCGGCGAATTCGTATTTTTATGGATAAATCGTTTATGAATTTGTGATAATTCTTGAGAAGAATTGTAAACAGTTTTCAAAAGAACCGATTGTTCGCCAATTATCGATGGCTTTAGAAAAGTTTTGCCACTTTTCGCAAAAGCAAACATTTTGTACAAAATGTTTTAATTTACAAATTATATAACAGACAAGTGATTGACTAAATGTATGAATGAAAGGATATTCTGGCGAATGCTTTAACTCTAACTCTTGTATCCAAAGGAAAAGCATTTAAATATTTCCCCTTTGGTTGCGAACCGAAGACTAACTGCGATTGACG